TGCGCTACGCATGCTACTACAATTAAGAATCGTAGTGGCAATTTTGCGATTTGGCCTACACTAAAATTTATCGGGCCAGTCGATGTACAGTTGAAGTTTTGACCTCCCAGATAAGTTGGTGCCAACATTACCCTAGAGGGACGAACGGCCTGGACGGCATACGATGCAGGATTCCACCTCGGACTATTCGCGTCTAGAGCGGTACCACTTGGCGCTAACCATTTCAATGGTCATACCAAATTTCTTAACTTTCTACAAACTTCTCGAGCAAATACACCCAGAGGTTAACGATGTAAACAGAGTCAGTTCAATAGTTGTTTGATTAAGCAGCAGTCAGTTTTGTTGTTTTTGCCCCCATGATGAACTGAACCGGCGGAAGTCCGTGCTGCACCACTGAGTCACGGTATTATCAGTTGAGGCGTTTCGATCGTAGTAGCTCTATCAACTGCATTCCTCTCGTTTGTTTTCCTGATTCCAAGCCCAACTAAAACCCCTGTTTGGGCAGCTCACCCCATTTCTGATAAGGCCAAGCGTAGTGCTTAGTTTTGAGTTCTGTTTTTTCAAGCAGTTATTTAGAAGTTATTTGTGATTACAGGACTGTTATAAGCGGGGCAGGGATACTGCATTTCCTCCAATCGTTTAGGTTTCATATTTCGCGATAAATTCCCCTTCTGAGCCTATCCATAACGTCTACATGTTTTGCATAGTCGATTTTTGGGATTAAAGTCAGGATTTCAGTGGGGCCTTATTTGCTTAACACAGCGTATCAAATTGCTACAGTTGGCTATCATGATGAGCGGGAATGATCCGTGAACTTCTATTTCGAAATTTAATTTAGTGATTCATCGTCACGTCATTGCTTCACTTCTACTGATACGGTAAATAAACTATGGTGACGGAAATCTGTTGTTGGTCTTGTTGTTGTTCTGGATTAGACTCAACTCTATGTTGACACTGGATAATACTACAGCCGGCGGGCGGGTCGCAGCGCGTTATGCCAATAAAAAAGACATTTTGTCTTTAGTCAAATGGATTTAATCACACTTTGCTCAGCTCAAAGCGTGTGCTCCCAACTTAGAATTGAAGAGCGCATTTCATTTCATAAGAAAATCTTCATAGTGGCCATCTACGTGGACGGCATCACGAAAATTTTCCTGGAAACATTGGGTGCTCATGGGGTTTTCGCACTGACCGGTTGTACGTTACGACGGGTTCTGAAGGGTGGGTTCCGAGGGGTTTTGCACAGTTAGAGCTAATGTCCCTAGGAAACTATCCCACGTTGAATCGATCCAAGAAATTATGTAAGAGCTTCAGGATGAAGCAGTTACTGTAGGCCTCCCTGAGCTCGACGACGGTGACAGATGACGTCATATTCTGAAGACGGTGAGGTAGTGAAGGAGGGCCTGCGTGTTCACATTAGGGCGGACATTTCAGAGAATAATTTGCTGAGGAAAACGTTCGTCAGCGCGGCAAATCCCTCCGAAGAAAAACAAGACAAGCGCGACCGGGCAAAATTCCTTTTTCTGCCCCCCCCCCGCCCCCTGCCACAATTTCATATCCGTGGGTTGCCGACCATAATACACTCTCAACTAAGAAACAGAAACTTAAAGCAAGCTCACTTAATCGCCTATTTTTTTGATGGTACGGCTAAGTTCCGCCGCAATCTACGGCAGGTTTTGGTTCGCTGGAAATCAGAAGGTGGTAGTTGCGTAGTAATGCGAGGACATGGCGAAACTGTGCAAAATGTTGCTCTGCCTCGCGAGAATTTTCTGTACTTGCCGCCTATTTCACTCCACTTTTTCCAGATAGATGGTCTTCTCTTATACTATAAATGGCTCTTGAGATTATTTTCCTCAAAGTTCACAGTCCAAAATGCTGTCAAAATGGTTTCTGAAGAGTCGATCTCGTAGATGTTGCTTCCCCAGAACTTTCCCGATTACTTCAAGGTGTATCGTTCGTCACGATAAAGAACCAAATCATCGTTTTTTGTAAATTTATATACAGCATCTGAAATTCAACAACGTCGTGGGGAGATGAAAACAAAAAAAGCTGTCATAAAGAGCCAGATCTTCATTTGATCTATGCGCCATGTATTTGAGGATATGCCTGACAAACAATGGTCTCATCTGCGTTATTTCTTTTGCAGGACCCCTATTGAGGGCGCGCAGCTAATTAAAAACAGCGTTTGTGTCCTGGTTAATGTGAATATCGATATCGAATAGCGACTTTGAAGAGAGATAGAAAGGCTTGGCTGGTCATGGCCTGGTGGACTATGTCTTAAGAATTCGGAAGACTCGGATGCTATACGTGGGGTTAGCTGCTACCCCTGATCCTACTCCACATCTGTACCTTGTAACTCATGCCCTCCCTTGCGGTTTAACGCGCTAGTGTACTCACTATAAAGAGAGGGGTTCTCGCGGCGCAAAGCACTCGCACTCATGGTTTCTGGAATCGCGCAAACGCTCCCATTTTAATTCATGGCTCAGTCCCCTTCCTTCACAAGCTAAAGCAAGAAATTTACTCACCTCTTTGAAAAATTGAATTGCTGTCGCAGGGGTGGAGTGCACCGCGATTCGCCCCTTTCCCTCATGGGAAGAGACACCAGCGCCCACTGCCGAACTGCTACTTCTTGAGTAACTCGACTATTTCGTTTTGTGTTCCTTTTCCATTGGAAGTAGCGTTCAAAGCGCTTTCGCCTCATATATTCGTTAGTTTGAAGTCCCAACCGTATTTGAGCCTTATTTTAGATGAATGGATTATTCAACGGCACATCGGTGAAAAAGTTGCTGGGATGGCGGATTGGTGAAGAGGAGGAGAAATTCGCCGAGAAAGCGGTGGAAACGTTGGTGAAGAAGTTGAAAAAGAAGAACGGAGGTGTCGGTAGGTTATAAGAGTCGCTGCCGCGGAAGGTAGTTCAGTTCCATTGCCACTGTTTTAGGTACATTGGAGGATCTGGAGTACGCCTTGGCTCATCCAGGATCCCATTCCAAATGCGTGGCTCTGCCAAAAAGTCAGGACGGACGGTTGCAGGTGAGTCAGGTGAACCCTTCCAGGCTTGTGCTCAAATTTGAGCTCTGCAGGTCTCTCACCGCAAGGGTCTACCGCATGTGATCTACTGTCGTGTTTGGCGATGGCCAGATTTGCAGTCTCATCAGGAGCTGAGACCAATTCCCGAATGCCTCTATCCTCATGATCACAACAACAAAACGCCGTACGTCTGCATCAATCCCTATCACTACCAGCGACTTGACCCAAATAGGGTAGGTTTTTAGAGAACTCTCTGTCTTTAAGCTTCTGATGAGCTCACCTAATTTTTTAAGGGTGCCCGCTTCAGCTACTCTCCACCGATTTCTTCTCCTGCTGGTTCGATCTTTTCGATTTTTGCTTCCTAATTTCTTCCACCTTTTCTAACGATTCTCTGCTCCCCTTTAGTGTCTACTGCTGGATCTTCGCCATCATGCTCAGGACGGATGGATATGACATCACCATCGAACATCCCATCATCATCCAGTTCACCTGAGTATGAGATGGCCTTCAGTCCTTCATCGATGTTATCTGAAGAAGATGGAGGAAGAATGGAGCAGGTAATCTAGTAATATTGTTTGATTGCTTGCAAGAATATATAACTTTTCGTCAGTTTTTTCTGCTTACCATTTGAGCCTTTATTGTATAGTGGAGTTTCCTGAAAATTCACCAATCTAATATGTTTTCCTAAAAATATACGTACTGTGGTATTGATTAAAGTCAACAATCGACACCTTCTGGTATTGAAAGGATAAAAAGGATAAAGCATTTGCCGTTGATCAATCCCTTTTTGGGATGCGGCACGCATTCTACTTCCATTTGTACATTCGTAGTGGCGTTTGAATGCGATGTGGCCTATACAATGACTTGCGGGGGCCAGCCGATGTACAAGTCAGTGTTTTTATCCTCCCAGACAAGTCTGGTACCAATTAACCGACCCCGGAGGGATGGAAGGCTTGGTTGGCCCGGGCGACTCACGACCCAGGATTTGATCCCCGGACCGCTCGCGTGGTAAGCGCGCCACTTGCCACTTGCACTTTTTTTTTTTTTTTGGAGCCAAGCTTCCACCCTGGTAGTTGAATGGACAGTACTAATTGAGTAGTTGAAGAAGGATTCCACGATAAGGACGAAGGTCTAAGAAGTGGGAACTCACATAGTGGCAGGCGGACCTCAGAGCTACAGCTAACGAAGCAAAGATATTCTCGGCGACCTGGCATGGCCCTTCGCGGCACTGTCGGCGCGGAACGCCCCATCGACTGGCTAATCACTCGCCGCAGGTCTCTAGCCGTCTGGCAGAGAGAGCATTAGCTCTGGAGAGGGCAGCATCGATCAGGGTCGCATCATGCGAAAGGCAACGGGCAAGGAATGGGTTTGGGTCGCGAGCCCGTTTCTCATTGTTTTTCCATTATTCTGGCACCGCTGACCACCTCTACCTTAATTCTAATGGGTTGTCGTCTAATCGTCACTTTTCGAGTCCACTAACACGCGTTTTCACGAATCCTCCTAAACTCGGGCCGCACTGGTGCATAAATACTACGGTTCTAATGACGTCCAGTTTGCTAGGTTAATCAGCCGCAGGCGAGTTTACCGTCCTCTTTAAAAAGCGAGTGTCGGTGCAGACCATGCACCACAAGTGACGACGGCCTTCACAAAATGTTAATGTTTTCTGCCAATGAAATGATTAGCCTGTTGCAGTTGTATTCTATCGATTGTCACTAATTACAACTATCATTTACCAGAAATCAGCTATCACTATGAACAACTTCTAACCAGATTTACTTGGAGGCCGTCGTCAGTTGTGGTGTTTGGTCTGCACCCGACACTTTCTCGCTTTTTGAAGGGAGGTTACCTTCATCTAATGAGTCTTTGCTACGTCTTTTCTCATGTTGTTTACCAAATTTAGAAAACAAACAATAAGAATGTAGAATTTTGTTACCAAGTTTCTGACAGTGCTGGAATGCAACATGGTTTGTTGCAATTTGTGCACGCACAATCGATCAATGATAATCACTGATAGCTTTTTGGGAAATGAGCAAGGTAGACTACGTTCAATATCAGTTAGGCGTAACCGAACAGTGAGATTTATGTCCTTCTTCACTGCTCCAATCCTGTCATGTCAATTTTCTTCTTGATAAAGAGAAACAGGCGTCATGCGTGTGGATAGAAAAGATGGTTAGAGGAAGCCACTAGCCGGCTTTTGCTTCGAATGATGGGACCATATAAGTTTGTTCTTAACAGCTACATTAAACGTGTAGCTGCTTCTTTGGAGGGGCTCCATGGAATAGCTCACCGGCGGCGCGGACGCGAGCGCGTGCGGGTGACGTCACTTTGACGTCACAGCGGCGGCGAGGGATTGAGCAAGGGTGGTGCCAATACTTTATAACATTGCGTATAGGACACTATCGACTCTGACTTCACTATGCAGTGAACAGAAGTAATAACGAAGAATGGACTTATTGAAATCAACTTCGAATTAGTTGCGCACTCGTTAGGTTTACACACGGAACCGTTGATTTCCTCCCTTATTCGCAAACAGATTCCTAATTTTCGAGGGCGAAAATAGTACCTATACACAATACAATCACTTCGCTCACGGCACTACTGATTGCACTAGTTGGTGGAAACCAGCTACCCTTCTACTTGGCAGCGACGCTTTTAGTCTAGCCTGCTCGTGCTGTTCCCACAGCTGTGACGTCAGCTGCACGCGCTCGCGTCCGCGCCGCCGGTGAACTTTTCTCTCCCCCCCCCCCTTTGGAGGCATACTTCGCAGTAGTAAAAACGCGCTAAATAAGGGGTTCAAGGGCGGTAGGTGCTAACTGCCTCGCTAGTCAAAGGAGGATTCCATGACAAGGTCGTACGTCGAAGAAGGGGAAATCCGCCTAGTGGAAAGACAGGCGGACCTCTAAGGGTGCGGATAAACACGCAATTTCCCGGAAAGGGTATGCCATCAGCAACCTAGCATGGCCGTCTCCGCGGCGCTATCGACACGGCACGCCCACGACTGGCTAACCACTCGCCGCAGGTCTCTAGCCGTTTAGCAGAGAGCGTTAGCGTTGAAGAGGGCAGCACCGATGAGAGTCGCATCAATGCGGAAATCAACGGGCAAGTGACCGGGCCTCCCACCT